AGTGGCATTCCATTAGAGTATAAGATTTGCATGACTTCTAATGAGACTTTTGCTTTGATCCCCTTTTTGATTCCTCACCTGTATATAGTGTTTGCATTGACCTGTATATAAGCTCCTTTAGCTCCTATATCTTATGTGTAAATATGTTAACCCTATAACTTTTATATCTTATTAAATTTGTACATAGTTAAGTCTTAACATGTATCCTGGCCTTGCTCTATAGGGGAAGGAGGGAAATTGTACACCACAGGCAGTTTCACTCCTCAGTGCACCTGCCCTGCTAATACTCCCTTCGTTTGGAGACGGGAATACATTATTGGGTACCACCCAGTTTACACCACTCTGACAGTACTAACAAGCCTTATCTCACTATGTTACATCCTTGCTGCTACACATACTTATCTAGGGAGAGACCTTCCCTGTCTCAAAGAACTTACAAAAGTGTAAGTGTAAATAGTGTAAATAGGCAAGACAGAGAAGGCCAGAGTGAGAGTATATTTTTTATCCCTTTCATCTTTCAAACAGGGCAACCAGGACTTGGACAGACTGTCACTTGTCTATGGGAAGTTTGTGGCAGAGGTAGGAGTTGAAGCCAGGCCTCCTGAATCCTGCCATACTTCCTTAGCCAGAGCATCATCTCTCTTTTGCTGTGTGTGTACTGCTACTTACAGTCAACCTGCAGGCTGTCCTGAAGACCATGTGCACTTTTCACCTACTCTGAAAACCTTGAAGCTCAACTTTCTGGGGTGATCCAGCGCTCCCCTTCCCTCCTTGTCCACACATCTCCACAGCATGTTTGGAGCTTACCCAGGCAACACAGGTATCAAGCATAGGAAGTCCTATCATTATGATCCCACATCTCCCCACTCCTGATTTACTGGCCGGAGGAAGAACCAGGCCCAGAAGAGGAAACAAGTGGTGGGCCAACTGATTCCTAAAAGAGCTCTGCTCAAGGGACAGGAAGAACAATCTGTACAGCTTTGGTGTGGGCTGCAAGGAAAGAGATAGATGGGGAAGGGTAACCCATGTGGTTCAAGGGGGGACTGTGGCTCTCTGTGTTATTCACGCCCTTTGTTTCTTTTGTTCAAATGGTAGAGTCCTGGTTACTCTGAAGCTGAAGAACTAAGGTTCCAGTTCTGTCTCCCAACTATGCTGCTGACTTACATTGTAATTATGTTTATAGTGGGCAGTATAGAATAGATTCATTAACTTCCCATGGGGGGTGGATGTTGTTTATCTTTTTATTTTGTAAATGGTCTAACATCCTTCATTATAACTGTTTGGATGCTTTCTGTGCATTAGACTAATCTAATGCAGAGTAAAGCATCATCCTCTACATGTGTGCAGGACTTAGTGCATATTAGTCTATTGCACTGTTTGCTAGTACCAGTACATACAAGTACTAGATAAATGGTGCATTAGCGAATGCGCTATGGCATACATGTAGACACTGACTGGGAGCAAGTTGCTCCTGGTCAGCCCAGGCAGCTGCCTGCTGCTTCCTGGCTAAGCCCTGATGTGGGAAGAGCTATGCTAGTTGCAGGGGCAGCTGTAACCCCGCTGCATGGGGATCAGGATCCATCCAAATCCCAATGTGCCCATGAGACACCCGTCCCCTCAGCCAGCACAGCTCTCCCCACCCAACAGAGATTGGTACTGGTCCCCATGGCCCCTGCCAGCTCCCAGGGTTCGTATTTAGAGGAGCCAGGAGCTTCCCTGGCTGCTGAAGGCTGGCAGGGCAGGGCAGTGCAGGGCAGGAGCAGCCCTGGACTGGGCTGCTCCTATCAAGTGCAATTTTCTCCTGATGGGGGCACATGTGTAGATGTGCACCCAGGAGCACATTAATGAGCCTGAATTTTCTGCACAGAAAATTAATGTGCATTATTTGCATGTGTAGACATGCCCACTGAGCTCTGTTTAGGTTCTCAAACATTTGTAGGTCAGAGCTTTGGTTACTGAGCACCAGAACTTTCCTCTCTATCCCCAAATTAGGGCTTGGTTTGTCAGACGGGGCCCAGGAATTAAGAGCGAGTACTCCTGTCTCTTCTCAGGAGAATCACTTTATTGGAAAATTGAGATAAGTTTAACTAGCATTCAGATCAGGCAATGGAAGTTAAGAAACATACTTATACTTGGGAGGATAGATGTTGGCCAGACCTCAGGATTTCTTAGTTCTTGCTGGTTGTTCAGTTTTTCAGGGTCTTTACTTCCCTCCCAACTCAGGCCCTTCATTCCCTCAATCATCCCCAAGTTTGTAGTCATAGATGTATGTAATTAATGCATCTCTATACTTTTGATTGGGTATGTGTTAATGAAAGGGGTTGGTCATGAAGACCCCTCCTTCAACTATTTATAATATGATTCTTGTAACAGGAGCCCCAACCTTATTAACTACATACAGAGAAGGAGTAGGAGAGGAGACCAGGGTCCCCAGGGGGGTAGACTTTCATAGCTTGCAGGGTCAGATGGCTGCAGCAGGTAGATGCCACCAACAGAGACTTGAGACTCCAGACTAAAGACCTGGGACTGCTAAGGACCTAGAAAGGGCTGGGTGCAAGAAAAGCCAGTCTTTTAGGCTGACCAGGAACATCTGGGCCCATCTTCAGGGGCAGCAGTCATGTGACCAGAAGGGGCAGGGCAAGGCCACAGATAAGCCCAGTCTCTGAGCTGGGGCTGGCAGTTTATGCCTGTAGGCAGTAGGGGAAGGAACAGAAGACAGAACTGGCTGACAGTGAGAAAAGGTACCCTGGGTTGGGGGGGACTTTAGGCAGTCCATGGTGACAATTGCTATAGCCCTGAGGGGATCATGGTTGGGTTATAAGTGGATGGTTAACCTTTTGTGTTCTAGTTTTCTTCTATGTATTTAAGTTGAGGACCAGGTGTCGCTGTAGGGGAGATCTGGAGGCCATAGAGCAGGGTGCCAGGGCACTTTGTGCTTGTGAGACCAGATTTTGGTCAGGGATGAGAGGGGTTGGGACCCAGGAACCCAGAGTCTGAGGTAGTGGACCTGGGCTGAGGGAGCTCAGCTAGATAAAAAGGACAGAGGCTGAGAAGGCTAAAGCCCAGACAAGGGGTTGGGGGCCTGAGGGGCCCAGTGTTGGTCCCTACAAGGGGCAATTTAGAGTCATCTGCAAGACATAGGTATGGCTATGGGGGCAGTAGGAGGCCACAACTATAGCCCTAAGGCACCAAAGGAGAGGCTATCCCAGCCTCTAGTCTCCCCTTAAACTCATATATACTAACATCAAGTTATGGCAGGAATGAGTCAGGAAGTAAGGGAGGCAGGAGAGCACTGACAGAAAAGGGGAAGGTGGAGACCCCAAGCTGTCACAATTTCCATTCATTGCTAAACAGCTATTCACCTAGGATGGCCTACAGAGGTTATCAGTTATATTTTGACTGTTGATAGTGAGTAATATTCCTTATGGTAATGGTTTTCAATTACTTTTCTGTGTTACTATTGTCACTTAGTCGGTGCCTTTGTGTTTAAATCAGTGAAAACATGGAATCTGGCTTTGCAAGCCTGTCTTTAGACAAGGTGACCCCAAATTTCTATAATTCTAAGTTTATACATTTTACAGCAACAACATAGAGTTCCTGTCTTTATGTAACGGAAGATACATAGGCAGGTCCAAAATTGTGGTGATACAGTGCGAGCACGTGCTGTTTGTGGTGGGGTATATGAGCAGCAAAGCGAGCTCATTGTATATGTGCTACACAGCTGAAGGGGGTCTGGCTGCAGCCCCTTGTTGTGAACCTGGATGCTGTGGAGCTCTCAGCAGCTCCTGTTAGGAGCTGCACTCATGGTCTGAGCTCACCATCACAGGGTCTTTACTTCAACCAGCTCTGGAGCCGTCTGCTATGTGTTCTTCCGCTCCCTCTTCCC